GTGATCTGTGTGGTTTCATTGATCTGTCCCCACTTTTCTGAGTCCTCAACAGCATTGACTTTGAACTGTAAAGGAGCTGAGGAAGGGTCGCAGCTGCCCTGTCTTTTACGCCCTCATATGAGAGCACGAGGAGGCACAGAGTGTATGCATGTTTAAGAAAACCTTTATTTCCTTCCACCCTAAATATCTTGGCCTGAAGGCATTCAAATCCTCCATGTAAAAAACGAATCGAATGCTATATCACTGAAAGATTTTCAGCTTAAGAGACTTATTTCAGTCAACACATTCTGTGGTAGCATCCTGGGCAGAAAGTGAATCAGCCACCACAAAACAAATGGAAAATTGTCATCTTGTCATGAATCAACATTTTTGTAAAGAGCTACAGGCCTGACTTATACTCTGCAGAAACATTCTTTGGCAGAAAGGTGCTCCAAGAAGTGATGACCAAATAGATTGAGATACTAACTTTAGCAAAGAAGAAACATTCTTTTTCACTCTTCTCCGACACTTTTGACTATTTTTCATATTTCTTGATATAATTAAGATGTCTCAGACTCAGGAAGATGTCAGAATCCAGAATAGAACATTTGTCACATCATGATTTCCTTCCCAGATTGACCTCTCCCCTAATTCTTCCCATTCAAACTAAGTCCTTTGGGCATTTTTACAACCACTTCTTTAGTGCCCATGCATGTAGTAAGTGAAGTAAGTAGTGAAGTAAGGTTAGATATTTATATTTAGTCAACTAATAAATATTTATGCTGAGATTTTCAAGGTTACATAAAGAATTTGAACTTGTAATTCTCATTAAAATTAATGGGAACTGGGTGTTCAAACTTTCTAAGAATGACTTTGAAAATCTCAGGTTTAGTAACTGGGAGGTACTTTGGAAAGAGCTTGGTTAAGCCATGAAAGAAGCCCCATGGATAAGTCTGAATGTCCTCTGATGTTTCCAGAAAGAGGGGCACAAATTCAAATTCTCATACTAGGAGACAGGTCAGCCCTAGAAAAGAACTGACTCAGTAACACATTTTCCATTTTAACTAAATTATTGTTACTTCTGCATTTTAAATGAATTCCTTTTTGGGAAATAAATCTTACATTAATGGTAATTCATACTTTTAATAGCCGTAAGTGAAATACCCCAAGTTAGAATTCTAATTTAATTTACCTTCTGTAACACAAATACAGTCACTATTTTAGTGCTGCTTTGTTGATGACATAGAGCAGATAAGCAGGAAAGAATCTCCTTTTCAAAAGATAATTACAGCTTTTTAAAATTGTACCACAACAAACATTGCTAAGGGAAAACAGTAGTGAAAGCCATGTCAGATACAATTTCTAAATATTAAAAATGACCCTTAAAGATTTATATGGGATTTTGTAGAAAGACTCCTAATTACAAACAAAAGCATCCATCAGTTGACTTGACAGTTATGAATAATAGTGTTTTACATGCCATATATGCCAAACCAGACACACTAGGTTTAGCATAAAAAATGTTATGAGCAACTGGAAGATATACTTATTAACTGCAGAATGAATGACATAACAAAGCTTGTACAAGGCATTGTGGAATTTGATGTTATGCTCATGAATATATTAAATTGTAGAAAGTGAATACCAACTTTTATTATATATGTGTCACAAGGGTTCTGATGAGTTCGGATGAAAATGCCCCACCACCCAAACCTGCATTTTAACACCAATTCTAAGTGCCATAACATAAATCTTCTGCCTCAAACTCTCAGAAGTTTAAGAAAAACAAATTATACAGTAGGAATGTGTAGGTGCTCTGTGTGTGTGTGTGTTTTATTTCCATCTGAACCACTGCTAACATGCAAAACAATTTACCGGAGGAGTTCTAGACAATGTTCAAAGCTTTGGAATTGACTTTGAAATGTATAATAAGCAACTGTTAAACTTCAGCCCACACAATGTTTCTATTTTTTTCAAGGTTTATTCACCAACTGAATACCTGTGGGTGATAGTTGATGTTATTTTTTTTTACAGTTTTCTTGTAATTGGGCCAACTTGTCAACTATGCATACCAGGTGCATGCAATTCCTAAGAAAAAAACATCACCTGTCTCCAGGTTTTACAGTGCAACCGTGATTTTAAGTAACTTGAAAATATCCACTTCATACTGCTAATTTCCTTTTTGACCATCTAGTTCATAGTTGGATAGTTGGTCAGATTCATGCGTTCAGTACTGTCCTTTCAAAAGAACCTCAAACATAACAAAATCTGTCTGCCATCTCCCCATCATAATTACATGTTTTATAATTTTTCCAAAAGTTCTTAAATCTCATGGTATCATTAATAGACTATTTCGTCAAAGGTCAGGATGTTTTGTCATAAGGTTTTTTAAGCAGATTGAATTTTTTTTTAGCTACAGTAGGCAAGTAAGTAAACCTATAAGAAAATGCTTATTTACCTGACAATCCTGGGTTTGTTCAATTTTACAAAAGTGAAGGTTAACAATGCTTGTTCAGTGTTTGTTAAGCTCATTCAGAACAATGTGGGCCACATTCTGCTGTCCTTATGGGTGTTCACAGTATGCTACTCCACAAGTGCTTCCAGTGGTTTCAATGAGAGAACCAATGGAGTAACATACTACTGAATTTATACTTAAATCTTATAAAGTATAAGAAAAATATATTTCTGCGGTGTAACAGTGATATCACTGCATAATGTACTTTAGCAATTCATTTGCTCTGAATGATGTAGATTTTTCATATGAAAAACTGAGAATCCCTAACCCAGTTAGGATTTCTATTCTGGGAGTTAGAATAGAAGTTATTGTCTGTATTCACCTGTGATATGTATTGTACAGTATTAAAAAGTAAATATATGCAGCAGTAAGCCTTTAACCATTGTTGTATTTCTGTTAGCAGAAAAGCTGCTTTTTAGTTTATCTTGAGAGCTGTAATATGTCACCATCATGAAGTGACTACAATAGCTTTTAATGGTGTTAAAATACAGTACATCTAAAGGTGCATCCTGGTTATGGTTTAATACTTTGTATTCCCTTAAAAATCAAAATAATGACCTTTAGCAGAGTAAATTAACTTAAATACACCTCTACCCGGATATAACACGAATTCGGATATAACGCGGTAAAGCAGTGCTGCGGGGGGGGGGGGAGGCTGCGCGCTCCGGCGGATCAAAGCAAGTTCGATATAACGCGGTTTCACCTATAACGCGGTAAGAATAAAATTGTCAGACACATAGAAAAACATAAACTGTTGAGCAATAGTCAACATGGTTTCTGTAAGGGGAAATCGTGTCTTACTAATCTATTAGAGTTCTTTGAAGGGGTCAACAAACATGTGGACAAGGGGGATCCAGTGGACATAGTGTACTTAGATTTCCAGAAAGCCTTTGACAAGGTCCCTCACCAAAGGCTCTTAAGTAAAGTAAGTTGTCATGGGATAAAAGGGAAGGTCCTTTCGTGGATTGAGAACTGGTTAAAAGACCGGGAACAAAGGGTAGGAATTAATGGTAAATTCTCAGAATGGAGAGGGGTAACTAGTGGTGTTCCCCAAGGGTCAGTCCTTGGACCAATCCTATTCAACTTATTTATAAATGATCTGGAGAAAAGGGTAAACAGTGAGGTGGCAAAGTTTGCAGATGCTACTAAACTGCTCAAGATAGTTAAGACCAAAGCAGACTGTGATGAACTTCAAAAAGATCTCACAAAACTAAATGATTGGGCAACAAAATGGCAAATGAAATTTAATGTGGATAAATGTAAAGTAATGCACATTGGAAAAAATAACCCCAACTATACATACAATATGACGGGGGCTAATTTAGCTACAACAAGTCAGGAAAAAGATCTTGGAGTAATCGTGGATAGTTCTCTGAAGATGTCCGCGCAGTGTGCAGAGGTGGTCAAAAAAGCAAACAGGATGTTAGGGATCATTAAAAAGGGGATAGAGAATAAGACTGAGAATATATTATTGCCCTTATATAAATCGATGGTACGCCCACATCTTGAATACTGCGTACAGATGTGGTCTCCTCATCTAAAAAAAGATATACTGGCACTAGAAAAGGGTCAGAAAAGGGCAACTAAAATGATTAGGGGTTTGGAACAGGTCCCATATGAGGAGAGATTAAAGAGGCTAGGACTCTTCAGCTTGGAAAAGAGGAGACTAAGGGGGGATATGATAGAGGTATATAAAATCATGAGTGATGTGGAGAAAGTGGATAAGGAAAAGTTATTTACTTATTCCCATAATACAAGAACTAGGGGTCACCAAATGAAATTAATAGGCAGCAGGTTTAAAACAAATACAAGGAAGTTCTTCTTCATGCAGCACACAGTCAACTTGTGGAACTCCTTACCTGAGGAGGTTGTGAAGGCTAGGGCTATAACAGCATTTAAAAGAGAACTGGATAAATTCATGGTGGTTAAGTCCATTAATGGCTATTAGCCAGGATGGGTAAGGAATGGTGTCCCTAGCCTCTGTTTGTCAGAGGATGGAGATGGATGGCAGGAGAGAGATCACTTGATCATTGCCTGTTGGTCCACTCCCTCTGGGGCACCTGGCATTGGCCACTGTCGGTAGACAGGATACTGGGCTAGATGGACCTTTGGTCTGACCCGGTACGGCCGTTCTTATGTTCTTATGTAAGATTTTTTGGCTCCCGAGGACAGCGTTATATCGGGGTAGAGGTGTATATGTGCTAACTACTTTATTAAAATTTAACATGTCATTTGTTTAGAATCTGGACGTAGATATTTGTTAACTGAAATTCGTTCATTTTCTTTGCAGTAGTTGGGCCCACTAAATATATGCAAGCAAAGCTGTTGCACCCAATCCTGCATTATTTTAACTGGTAGTAAAGTACCCTGCAGGCTTGACAGATTGTCAAGGCAGTTATTCACAAGAAGTTATGCAGTGGTTGTATCTGTCAGCCCATACAGTATGGAATATTTTAACTGGCAGTCTTCCAAGACTGAACATTAATCTTACCATCTCCTATTACAGTCCCTAATCAAGATATTCCAGGGGTGATTGCACTAACATTGTTTGAAGACTACATCTACTGGACAGATGGGAAAACCAAGTCACTGAGCCGTGCCCACAAAACCTCTGGAGCAGACAGAATATCCCTGATTAACTCATGGCATGCCATAACAGATATCCAGGTGTATCATTCTTATAGACAACCTGATGGTAATTATTCTATCCATGCTTTTCAGACAGCACATCAGCATATTTCACAAACATCTAATTTCTGAATTCACTGAAGTGTTTTTTTGGGGGGAGGAGGGGGTTGGTTTTTTGTTTTAGGATCGGGCATTTTTATGCAATGATTATAAGTATTTGTACAGTGGTTTTGGTAGATTTCTTAAGTAACTAAATATCAAGTTGAAATTATTGAAGAACAAGTTATTGATATTGACTAGATCAGGGGTCGGTAACCTTTCAGAAGTGGTGTGCCGAGTCTTCATTTATTCACTCTAATTTAAGGTTTCGCGTGCCAGTAATAAATTTTAACGTTTTTAAAAGGTTTCTTTCTATAAGTCTATAATATATAACTAAACAATTGTTGTATGTAAAGTAAATAAGGTTTTTAAAATGCTTAGGAAGCTTAATTTAAAATTAAATTAAAATGCACAGTCCCCCGGACCGGTGGTCAGGACCTGGGCAGTGTGCCACTGAAAATCAGCTCGCATGCCGCCTTCGGCACACGTGCCATAGGTTGCCTACCCCTGGACTAGATCAACTGAATTGTTAAAATGATATTATGTTACAAAGATGATAAAATCAGTCCAGCTAAGGAGAAATAAAGTATTAGCAAAGCTTTCAATATTATTATTACAAAACCAGGAGAGTTGGTATTTTAAAGAATTACTGGTGTCTAACAAGCCCTAGAGATATTTAAACAATAGTTGGGCCAAAAAACCTACAGAAGGAGGACAGTATTATAACTCTCTCTGATCTCCTACCGTCCATTACAGTTCTAGTTAAATAAAATTTGGCAGCTGGTCTAGATTAGCAAATTAGCAGCACCATTGTAAAAGATTAGTGCTTTCTCTCTCATTGTTTCAGCATTCAAATCTGCATTTTTATTAGTGAATTAATTTGCCTCATACAAAATGCTTGTGCTCCTTAATAAGACAATTTGAAAGACCGATGGCTAAAACAGTGAATTTTTGTTTGTTTTTGTTTTTAAGAATGCTTTTTTATAAACTACGACATTATAAAAATAATGTAATTTGTACCTAGTGAATTTTACTTTCCTTTTTACCATAAAAGAGATTTAAAGTATGCTGAGGTAACAGGTTTATATTACTAGAAGCTTCCCTAAAGGGAAAAAAATGTTTCCTTTGTTGTTTTTTTATTTTTAGGGGGGGCTTCCCCTGCGAATCAGCCTGTTGGTTGGTAGGTTTTAATATTTTTTTTCTTTTTCATTCACAGTGTCTAAACATTTGTGTATGATAAATAATGGTGGCTGCAGTCACTTGTGTCTCTTAGCTCCTGGCAAAACACACACTTGTGCCTGCCCCACTAATTTTTACCTTGCTGCAGATAACAAGACCTGCTTGTCAAACTGCACAGCCAGTCAGGTAAGCCGGTTGCCATTTTACTATATTTTTGCAGCTTTATTTACAACCAAATGTTAATAGTAATGAAAGTGGTGCACACCTGAAAGAGTTCACCAAACCACAGCACAACTCTGAAGTAACATCAACTATTCTTTGTGGAGATCAGTTAGCTTAGGGCATATAAAGAGAAGAATGATTTGTTTTTAAATATAAAATTTAAAAATCATATACCTGAGGTGCTATGAAAATCTATTTGTGTATGAAGTTTGGAGCTTGTGTGACTCATTGTTTAACAAGAAGGAGGTAAACTAGCATAATATCATGAGGGCAACACTTCAGAAAGAAAATATTTTTGTTTCCTCTGCAAAAGTTGTTGTATATATTTCTTTTAAAAAAAAGGCACAGTTAATTCGCTTGCCTTCAGAAGAGTTATTGTGCCAAATTTAAACACTAAATTCAGCCATTAAAGTGTTAAACCAAGGGATTTTAATCCTGCTTTAAGAGAAAAATTCAACACAACCTTAATTGTGGAGTCGCTAATAATAAGTCTGTAATAATATCTGGGTCGACATATGTAGAGATTATAACTATATGATAAATAATGGAACCATATGACAACATATTTATATCTTGCACTTTTCACCACCTCACCTGCACTAATCTCCAGGGGGACTTCTAACTTTTCAAACCTCTGAGCAGCTTTCAAACAGCTCCCATTTGTTTACATAACAATCTGCAAAAATAAGAGTTTCTGAATATTTTCCTGTGTGACCCTAAGAGCGTCCCAGTGCCAGAGGGCAAGCAGCTCACTGGCACCAAGTAATAAGTTTAGCTGGCCTGACCAATTCAGTGTACCCCACCTTACTACGGCTATAATCTGTATCTAGAAGGTGGTAGGTAATATGTCATTGGAAAACTAATAATTCATTGATCATTAAGAATCTTGTGTCATGTATGTATGTGATGTGTATTAAGAGTTATGAATATATGTTGCAATTATGACTAAAAAGTATTTAAACCAGGCATGTCAGGGGGATTTGGTTAACAGGTCTGTCCTAGACAAAGGAATATGTTTGCTTCTCTGGCCAGCCCAGTCTTCAGCTAGGGACAATGAAGGTAGATTTACATATTAGGTAAACAAAGCTATCAAGCTAATAAGCGGAAGATGAGACAGCTTAGCATCTACACCCCAGCAGGGAAGAGAAACTTTACCTGAACTATATACAAAGGGAGCCTGAACCTCAAGTGATAAGCAGTTGAAGCAGCTGATGGTATACACTATTACTGTATTATAAACCAGTGGTTCTCAAACTAGGGCCGCCACTTGTTCAGGGAAAGCCCCTGGCATCAGAACAAAGCTGTTACGGATGTGAGAAAGAGGTTATTCTCATAGCTCCAGAAATCTTTCTGTTTAAGATAAGGTTACTCTTTCCACAATTTCCACAAAAGAACAAGATTTTCTCTCTGGTGTCACCAGCAATCTCTGAACTCTCAGGAAGTTGCATTATCAATAAGTCTATACCACCTATTAGAACTGAAACAGTGAATTGAGCTCAGTGAAAGTATGCTTGGCAGCATTCTCAGCACATCATCTACCTATAGAGGGTCAATCTATCATTTCACACCTAACGATCATAAAGTTTCTAACATGCCTAATAAGAGTTTTTCCACCTATCAAGGAACTGATTCTTCCTTTGGATCTCATCCTGATTCTTTCAATGTTCATGGGCCCTCCATTCAAACTTATGATTATCTATTCTCTGTTGCACTTGTCTCTGAAATCTTCCAAATTGGTAGTGATAACCTCAGCAAGCAGGGTAGGAGAGAGATTCAAGCACTCATGGCTGATCCTGTCTATACAGTTTTTTTCCCGGACAACATATCCTTAAGAGCACACCCAAAAGTCTGACCAAAGGTGGTTAGAGAATTCCATCTGAATGAACACATCAACTCAGCTGTATTCTTCCCTAAGCCTCATGCTTCTATGACAGAGGCAGTTCTTCAAGGACTTTCAACTCTGTTCTAAAGTAGATGATGGTGATATATCCAAGTGACCTCTTTCTCCAGTGTTTGTGTCCAAGTTCAGATACAGTGAATTGCAATCAATAGTCCAAGACAGGAATATTGAAAGTATAGATTACAATGGTTGGGTCCTCAAATAAGAGGGAACAGGTAAAGCTGTATTGCCAGGCAAAGAGAAATAGGGCATTTTTTGCTAATAGATGATCTGTATGTCAAGTATGAGATGTAATGGGATGGGGAGACTTTGATCCCAAGGTTTTTTAATGGTCTAAATTTAATTTTCCCAGGCCACTGATGACCAACAGTTAAAATTGGTTGGTGGTTTAAGCAAAATGAGTGGATGACTCCGGATTTTTGGATTTTATCTTTTATGAGGACATAGCCATTATCATCTCTATTTTCCACATTTCCAGGTGGAATTATTGCAATTAACTCTACCTGAGCTTGGGCATAAACACTGGAGAAAGATTGGAGCTGGTGGTATGGCTTGCAGCTGCACACCTTATGATAGAGGCAACATGGGTATACTACATCATCCACTTTAGAATAGAACTTGAAAGCCCTTTTCTACAAGGCCACTTAAGTGTTTGGGACCTGGCTACTTCACAGGACCCACCTTATCTTCAGCGATTCCCAGCTATCTTCCACAATAATAATTCAGCGTTTATACCTCAGTTCTAACTACAGATCACAAAGCATAATTGACAGCAATATCCTGGCTGTGGAAGTCCCTGGCAGAAAAACTTAGACTGAGCTCAGATTTAATGGTATTCAGATTAAGGTGAAAAACACACCTTTTAAAAAAAAACTTCCTTAAGGATCAGTGCTCTTAGAACAAAACAAACAAACAAACAGAAAACGTATACTCAGTCACACTCCTCTCCCCTGATGGAATTTACAAAGTAAAACATGTTCTGTTTCTGGGCTTTTGTACTCCTTACTTTTGTGCAGCACTTAAATAACTGGGGATAAGCACCATATAGAAAAACTAAAATAGATTACCAGTATTCTTAAACTACCCAGACTCTGCCACTTGATGTTATTGGCAAAAATAATTTGTGTTTTCAGCTTAACTCCTAGAAGCATTCTTCTCTCAGCGATAATGAAGGAACAGCAGACTTTCTAATTGAGATTAAGGGCAATATTGGCCTTTTGAAGGCGTTTACTTAACAGATTTTTGCCTTTTGAGGAATCAGGAGAATTAGGTTGTTGTTCCATTGATTTGATTCAACGTACATAAAAGTGATTGTATAAAAACAAAACTGTATATTCGGTTGAATTGTTAAGCAACTTCAACATATCTACTGTTACTCAGATTCATTCTGAAAGAATGCTGTTAAATATATGCTTCAAGAGACCCAAGAACATTTCTTTAAGGAATGTAAATTTCTATTTTGAATTAAAATTGAAAGGACCAAATCCTGAGCTGTTGTAAAATGGGATAGCTTTACTATCATTGGAGCTACACTGATTTACACCAGATGAAGATCTAGGCCAACACTCCTCAAAAAGTATCTTGTACAAAATCAACTGTAGATGCACATTAGGGAAACAGGTATAAGTTTTGAGCTATGAGTCTAATTTCTCATAAATTATTTTGTTTGCATGAAAAATATTCATATTTTAAGGCTTTTTTGGGGCTCCATTTCTTACTACAGTTCCGTTGCAAAACTGATAAATGTATTCCATTCTGGTGGAAATGTGATACTGTAGATGACTGTGGGGATGGATCAGATGAACCTGAAGAATGTCGTAAGTACATTCTGAATTTTAAATCCAACTTCTTTTTCCATGATGTTCTTGTATAAGATACTGTAATGCAAAAGTTAGAAAGTTAAATAATGTGATCACTGCTAAGTGTCATTTGAAAATCCTTAACAAACGGCAAGAATTTATAGTACATATTTTCAAATCCAAAATCACAGTTTAACTTTTTCTTAGTTTCTTGAAAAACTGGGTTCAAGTTGGATTTTTAAACCTGAATAGTGACATTTGTTCAACTTTTCTCTAAGTGACTCTTGCTACAATTCTGAATACATTTCACATAGAGTTTCCTGTTTTGACAAACAACGCAAAAGGATGTTTTGGGGATTAGAATTTACAAATCAGGTACAAATGATTCTGTGAGATGCACTATTTCTAACCATCTTACGGAACTTTGGCTCAGTGTGCTGGTAGTGGTGCAGAATCAGCAGATTTCTCCTTGATAGTCTCTCAGACTTCATACAGTAGCCTCCGTAATATTCCCCCTCTCAAGTTTTAGATAGTTTAAAGTCAATCATGATGATGTTCTCAGCATCCCAGAGGGAAGCTGTCATGGTTTTGCCATGACAGCGGAATGCAAGTTGTCTTAGGTATTGGAAAACACTTTTCTTTGGAATTGGTTTACTACATTTTAATGTCTAGAGGATGATGCTTCCTTTCATCCTCAATCACTAACCGCTTATGTGATTTACTGTATCTCCAAAAATCAAAAGATCATGATTGCATTGTACCTATGGTTGCCAATCCTCCAGGATTGTCCGGGAGTCTCCAGGAATTAAAGATAAATGTTTAATTAAAGATTATGTCAAGTGATGAAACCTCCAGGAATCCGTCCAACCAAAATTGGCAACCCTAATTGTACCTTCAAATTTGTACTCACAACAGAAAATGTTCACTCCGCTGCATTTCTCTTTAATTCTAATTCACAGTCATTTCATTTTAATCTTGTGCACTAAAATTTGTAATCCACATTTTAACAAAGAAATATGCTGAAGCAGAGTAACAATAAGCAATTATCATATGCTTCTAAATCTTTTGTTATGATGCCTTTTTCATTTTCACAAGTTCAATAATAGAAAAATACTTGATCTTTTTACTTTTTATGACAAGTTACCTTACTTCATTTATCTACCTAGAACTCTGCTCCTTACTGACTTGTCTGTTTACCACATGGACATTGTAGTAAATCACATGCAATAGCTTCATCCTCAGTAATATGTCAAGCTTTACATTTTATTGAATTTCCATTGCAGAAAAATGGTCAGAATATTCTGCAATGTGTGAACCAAACTAGAGGCGTTTCAGTACCCTTAATTTAAGTGCAAAAGTTTAAAAAATATTGTATTAAACCCTATTCTATTTACCCCCAGGGAAGCCATTTAAATAGTCTGTAACTTTTTCCCCATCTGTGAAATGGGAATCACTAAATATTGTTATATCATGGGTTTAGGAGGTTTTAATCGCTTATGCCAAAGCCCACTGAAGTCAATGGGAGTCTTTCCCTCGTACTCAATGGGCTTCAGATAAAGACCTGGATGTTTGTAAAGTGTTTTGAAATTCTTTGTAAAAAGGTGCTATAAAAGGGATAAGTATTCATCACTTGTCCCAACTGCCCATGTGCATCTCCTTGGTCATCAGGCTTCTTCCCTTTGTTCTCCTGCTACTCCTCTTTGCAATGCATTTTAAGAGGATAAGCCATAACTCTGTGTGCCACATATGATCAAGACCAAGAGTGAGGGATTAGGCTTCAGAAACTTCTTACCCCTTAGCACCTCTCTTTATAGCTTGAAGCATTTTGGGTTGTCTACAGATTTATTAAAAACAGAGAGAAAATTGAAGTAAAGCAAAATAAATGGTTTGCATAACAGACCTCATCTCAATACTTGGCAAAACTCAGTGAGGTAGGCTTCCCTTAACTGGGGGACATCTACATTTCAAGCTGGAAATGTAATTCCCAGCTCAAGGATGACATACCTATGCTAGCTCTGAATGAGCTAGCACTCTAAAAATAGAAATGTAGCCACGATGGTACAAGTGGCAGGAAGGGCTACCCACCCAAGTACGTATCTAGCATCTTGAATGGGTACATGCTTGAGCGGCTATCCCTTATGCTGCTGTTGCTACACTTCTATTTTTAGTGTGCTCAGTCAGAGTTAACACACTTATGTCTCCTTAAATTGGAAATTACAAGTTCACATTGAGAGGAAAGATGATTGTGGTATCTCAGTAACTCAAGTTACTCAGTGAACAGTCTCTCAGGGACATGACTGTGAGGTTCCTTTCCTCTTTTTTGAACTTAATATGAATGCTTCCTGCCTGTCACTCCCAATACTCTGGTCTCTCTGGCAGCAAACACAGCTATTATATGTGAGATAAAGATGGTCTTGAATTTTCTGAGGACTAATATTTGAATAAGAATAATTTGAAATCTTCACAATAAAATAGAAATGTTCCTGATCTAAACTGTCATTTGAGTGTCCACTTTACACATAAACAGGAGAAGACAATTCCTGTTTTCCTAGGATGCCATGCTGGTTTGTGTTGAATAGGATTCCCCAGGACAGTCTTGGGAGGCATATGTCTGACAGCAAAGTAAGTCTCAGTTGTAGACAATCTGAGCATCTGCTGGAGTATTATCACAACTCAGAGTTCTGGATCTTGGTCATTGGTAGCTGCTAGATTCCAAAAGATTTAGAGACAGGTGATGGAAATGATAGCCCTGAAAGAATCTGTGTAAGAACAACTGTCAGGTCAACTACCTTTATCAGAGAACAACCAGTCTGAGTTGGTGTTCTTGAGTAGTGTCTACTTGTTGCAGATCTGATGCATGACACAAACACTTCATACTCTTTGTGACACATTTTGGACTGAATGTTTATTCCTTTTTGGCCAGAAGGTCTTACCTTTGGGGAAAAAAAGCTTGAAGAGAAAATTACACATCAGCAGGGTCTTTACTTGTGATGATATCTGACTCATTTCTGATTTGAACAAAATCTTAATCTGATTTAGAACTGTTTGATTATACACTTCACAGAGAGAAGTGCAGGTCATTCCTTGGTGGAACACAATATCCATGTTTTTGATCAGCCTGGAAATCTCCATGCTGGGAGAACTGGAGTAGCCCCTTGTCATCTGTGGAGTGCCTCGTCCGTATATTAAAAAGTAGATCATTTTTTCTGACTCTCACATTATTGAGGATCTATTTGTGGATGTAAGGATTCAGTCTTAAAGCCTTCCAACACTAACAAGACACTAATATTTAAATTCTTAATGGGACTATCCAGTTTGCACCAATTGCATACCCTCATCTCACTGTCTACAGTGACTTAAGTTTTGTCTACACGGTGTGTTAATCCACATGAGAGGGCATAAATTCTAGTGCATACTAGCATATCACACATTAGCTAGCCTATGTGAACCCTGCCGGTGCACATTAAAAGTTCCCTAGTGTGCATTAATGTAGTGTTGTTTATGTTCCTCTAAATTTCCGATACCATCTTTAAATGTGTAAACTACTTCTTGAAATGCACAGCTTCCAGGCAGTCTTCCCACATTTAAGAGCCTTGTGGTACATTTGGCATTTTAAACATGCTATCTCTTTAGAATAACTTGGCTAAAATTTGCATTTTATTTCTATATCAGAATGTAAGAATTGGCATATTTTACCTACTTTACCTGGGATTGTAACATTGGTTATTGTTGCATAAGTCTTATCTCATTTCTGTTCTGGGCTAAGAGTTGAGAACGCACTTGCAGATAAGGAAATTATTCTGTGATAAATTCACAGTAGGATTTGTTACAAACCTTTCTTGGGTTGTACCCAGAATGTCTCTAGTTGGCTATATTTTTCTTCACCGGATTATATATTTATGTACCATTTCTTGGGCTTTGGTCAAACCCAGAACTCAAAGAATCTCAGATGTATATAATAATCCCTTCAATAGTAATAACTACAGATTCTCTCATGGTCTAGAGAGGACAGACGTTAATCCCTTTAGTGAGATGTTTTGTCATAGCCATTTGGCAACTTGTCAGCACAGATGGTTTATCTACTGCATACACATTTATAGCTTCAGACAGATCTTGGTCTCCCGGCTGAATCCCCTTTATAATTTAACGAGCATAGGGGAATCCCCAGGCTTTTGTATCCTATTCTGTTTAGGAACCAGAGTTAGGGATACATGTTTAGTACACTTCAGTACTTTCTAACTTTTACTGTAGAAGAAAACAACTGAGAGAGGCACTAAGGGCTGTTGTAACCTCCTCAGTAGGAAGTTCCTGTCACTTTCCACATCAAAATCAAACTTTCCCTTTCAAAGGTTTGCACAGGGACTTCCACATCTGCATCTCTGCTGTTTCTTATCTCAACCTGGCACCCTTACAAAGTTGTCTCTCACCAATTGACTTTCTTCTTCAATCTTGTTTCCATATCATCTTCCCTTCTGGAATCCCTTCCCAAATCATTGCTCTTGGTCTCCATCCTTTCTTTATTCAAATCCCCATTGAAAGCTGACTTCTTCCCTAAGGCACATAAATGCTAACCAACACAAATAAAAATAATAATCATCCACTTAAGATAGCATCAGACTCTTGGTGTCCCAGTGGGTTCTTGTGTTTTCTGTTCAGATTAAAAAATCCACAGAGCTGGGACTATGTATTCTCTTCTGTTTTGTACATATCTTAGCACACTGATGCTTACAAATAAATAGTAATAGACATGGTTGTAAGATCTCATAATTACTATCTGATTATTAAGAAATGCACATGCAATAATTATATAAATCTCTTCTAATAGTCCTCTTCAGCCAATCAGAGCACAGGGTTTTGCATGCTGTATCATTACTGTGAAATAACTCATGTGCAGTCTCATGTAAATGAGACCCTCCTCAGCCTTAGTGCTACGATCTTATCATTGAAAAATATGTGTTCAGTTATGGTTTAGTAACTACAGAATACTCTGGTTGAGTCTATATATCCTAATTTAATAACTTTTAAATATATTCAATTACTCCATTGAAGAGTAATAATATAATTGGCATATTACCATCCCTGTGATAGTGCTGGTAATTTTTCTGTACTTAATGAGATTTTTTTAACCTCTGTTATGTTATAGGTTAAAGATATTTTTTAATATAAAGAAATAGATATAAAAATATCCAAATGATTTCATGACATTTTCTCATTGTGGGCCAATCCAAATGCCATTGAAATCAATGGGAGTCTTTTCACTAACTTCAATGGGGCTCGGATCATTCCATGTATTTGATCAGTTTATTCAGAAAGGAAAAATCAATGAAACTTCTGTCTGACGTGTACACTTTCAAATTGGGGTTCATACATAGTTTAAAGTAATTCAATATACATTTTGAATAGCAGAAAAGCTTTGTTTATAAGTTTTATAAACCCTGTATGCAACTGTGCAAGATTTGTTTTGGTTTTTTTTTTTTCCAGCTGAATTTAAATGTCAACCAGGACGTTTTCAGTGTGGAACTGGACTTTGTGCTCTGCCAGCCTTTATCTGTGATGGAGAAAATGATTGTGGGGACAATTCTGATGAACTCAACTGTGGTAGGTGATTATATGTAGCACAGAATTCAAAAATTGACTAAGATCTTTAGCTAAGATGATTTAAATTCTCATGAGAAACTCATCTGGAAAACTTTTTTTTTTCATCTCTCTTCCAGACACACATGTCTGCCTGTCAGGTCAGTTCAAGTGTACAAAGAATCAGAAATGTATTCCAATAAATCTAAGGTGCAATGGACAGGATGACTGTGGTGATGAAGAAGATGAAAGAGACTGTCGTAAGTTATGTTTAAAGAGTTTTGTATTGCACAGTGATGGATAGTTTTAAACATAGAGTTTAAAAGATATATGTAAAATTACTGTATGTCCAATGAAAAACAGTTAATCTTTTGGACTATTTGACATACAGTACCTGAGATATTCTGTGTACAGAAATCAAATACTTCTGTCACTGACTTCAATTTTTTGTAACCAGGACAATGAGAAAAAAAAAGAGAATTGATTTTTAGAAAATTATATGGGTCTCTTATTTGGGTTAAACTGTATATATTACAATGACCACTCCCACCACCATCTCTTGTCTCCTCCTTGGTCTTTTAGCATTCCTCATGTGACTCTCTGCCATGGCCTGATGGCAACACAATTTACTGGGAGAGGATATCTTTGTTCCTGCCCCTTGACTGAGAGAGGGTATAGGTTCTAGAACTCTTTATCCTACAGCACCTCTCCTTGGAGGTTACGGAGTTCTCTTTTATGGAAGGTCTGCTCAAATTTACCCATATGACATTAATCTTAATAAAAAAATCAAAACAGAGAAAATTGAATTAAAAAAATTCATTTCAGCTAAAATACCTACATTTATATTTCTAATAAGATAAACTAGATAAGGTATTTTCAGCTTAGTTACAGAGGGGGAACATTGAAGAGTTTACATCTTGTAAATATAATCATCTCTCTCTGATGTTTCTGGTCTGCCTATCAGCACCGTACTGCCATCTATAACGAGAGATGACTCCGTCACTCACTCAGCCTGCTCTTCAAGCCCCCACTGATCCAGGGCAGCTACCCCATTTGTAAATTGGTTTTCTCAAGCTTCACATACACAATGGCTTGGAGACTCCATGCATTCTTTAGAAAAGGGCCATTGTGTATACAAAGACCCTTGAATATTGATGATTAATAGCCACCTTTCAGAAGCCTAAGTTAGCTCAGTTACTGCTTTTCAGGAACCACATTGCCTGATTTTATCTTGTTTCAGTCAAGCCTCTTGTTAGATGAAGTCCATAAGCAGTTTTTTCTTTTTTGCCATGTTTTTGGATAGTGGCTCAGATTCTTTGTCGCAATTACTTTTACAATACTGGTATGACATACTACACTAGACAAAAACAACAAGGAGTCTGGTGGCACCTTAAAGACTAACAGATTTATTTGGGCATAAGCTTTCGTCGGTAAAAACCTCACTTCTTCAGATGCATCTGTAGTGAAGACGTACCCTTTAAGGTGCCACCAGACTCCTTGTTGTTTTTGTTGATACAGACTAACACGGCTACCCCCTGATACTTTATACTAGGCAGTGTGGCCTAGTGACTAGAACACTGGACTAGGACTCAGAACAGCTGGCTTCTATTTCTGTCTCTGCCACTGGTTGCTGGGGAATCTTGGGCAAGTTACTTCAGTTCACCGTGCCATGTAAAATGGAGATAATGATACTGCCTGCCTTTGTAATGAAATGCGTTGAGATCCACTGATGAAAAGTTCTATATAAGAGCAAGGTATTATTATTACAAATACTCTTACTACATAGGCATGACTTCATGATTTTCCATCTCAAACACTGCAACATCGTTCATGAAATTCATGAAAACCTGAAACTGAAAATGACTAGAAACTAAATATAAACAAACCTCAGACTTTTCATTGCCCAAGCTGAGCTAAATGCAAAAAGTCAACAATAGTATAAATAATGAAAAGCAAATTAGATGATAAATCTTTGTTTAGTTTTAATAATCTAGGATTTATTTGTAACACTGCCAAGAACGTTTGTTTGTTTTCTGAAATATAGGATCAGATTCTTGGCTGTGCTGAATTTATGCCTGGCACGTTGTGGGGAGGGGGACAGACAAGTGGGAGGGGAGCACCAGAGAGCTGGTTACAGCTCCATGATTATCATCCCAGTTCCAGTGCAGATTAGCACAACCTAGAATGTGCTTAAATTGTGCCATATGGTAAATGACTCCCAGGGTACGTCAGTGATCAATCTATCATGGATTGATTTATCGCGTCTAGTGTAGACGCGATAAATCAATCCTCGATCGCTCTGCCGTTGACTCCGGAAATCCACCACGGCGAGAGGCGGAAGCGGAGTCGATGGGGGAGCAGCGGCCGTCGATCCCGTGCCGCGAGGACACGAAGTAAGTGATTCTAAGTCAATCTAAGATGCGTCGACTTCAGCTACGCTATTCTCGTAGCTGAAGTTGCGTATCTTAGATCGATTCCCCCCCCCCCAAGTGTAGACCAGGCCCAAGAGACTAAGCAGCTTGCAAAGCAATCCAGACATAACTCCTCCCACCCCTTTCTGTTCATGACGTGCCCACTGTGCTGTGGGCCAAAGGGCAGGTGGCTTAGAACCTGGCTATGAGAACTCTACAGCTGATGGGAAATCCATATAAAGCTACATGTTTTGACTAACATTTGTTAGCATACACACATTCAAGGTCATTTTCTGTTCTACTAATTTGCCATAGGCCATAATATTGCCAAATAAGTCCATGTTCATGGCCAGTCTTTTTTTTTTTTTTTTTTTTACCTTTCCAAGGAGATTTATGAAAGGAAATCTCCTGAGCTAGTGAGATAAATACATTAGGAAGGAAGTGAGAGAAGAAAATTACTTTTTGATTGGTGAATAACTAGGGATAGGATCCCTATAGGAAAGGGGCATTCATTTTTTCATACTCCTGGCTGAGCAGAAAATAATCACATGCCATCTCTGATGTGAGGAACTTTTCTAGCACTTTTTGTAAGGATTTAAAAGGAAAACCCATGAGTGCACTAAGAACCAGGTTTAGTTGCTAAGGTGGAAATCCTGGAAACTAAAGACACCCATACAAAGCAGCTTTCAGGATCTAGGAAAATTGGCAGCAATTCTTTACAGCAAAATCTTCTGTTACCTGGGCTATTATGTTGACATTGTGAAGTAGTTTTCAGTCTGGTTCTTCAATTTACTACTTTTCTTCAAAACAATGAAGACAGAGCAGAAGGATTTTGGTAGCACTGGACAGGGAGTCCTCGGACTTATGATACAATTCCTCAGAATTGCGTTGTAAGTCGAAACGTTGTCAGTCGAAACGGCTTTTCCCATAGGAATCAATGGTATGAAGGGGAGATTGTTTCCTGAACCAAGGCTTGATACACTATTTTCACCACAATAACCCAGATTTTTGTACTATATGAATTATAGATGACTAATGTTGCAATGTCAATGTATTTACAGTACACTGTATTTTGTAAAGAACCTTCGGATAAACATATAAACTCACATATGCTGCTCAGAATGCCGGCAACACAGGCTCAGAAAGCCAGGGAGAATGGCACACATGCTGAGTCTCAGCCAATCACTGTTCAAGCTTTCTGATTGGCTGAGCCCGGGGCCGGAAGCCAATCAAAAACAACCCTACCCGGCAATAAGCTACCCTGCTGCCTCAAAGCCAGTCAAAAGCAACCCCTTCCAGATCCATTCCAGTACTGTATAATGCAACCAGCAAGTGATTTCCAGCAAACTTTATGCAAATCGAGCGTCATAAGGGCAAAACGAGCAGTCCATTGAAAAGCGCAGTAAGTGGCGTCAGGCATCGTAAGTCAGAGGACTCCCTGTACATTTAGATTTAATAAAGGGGCCCAAAGAGTCAAAGGTATTAACATGACCCTGAAACTGTCCAACATTAAACAGTTTTAAACACTGTTTGGGGTTTCCTATGCAAAACTCAACCTGCTTAGTACCGTGGCAAACACATACTGAAAAATATTACATTTTATTAAATGGGAAAAAAGGGAAAAGCCATTAAAGCATTTGAAATGTAAAATATTTAATAAGGCTTACATTTTAACAGCATCCCTTGTTCCCTTTCCCTTTAGCTGCAGAGAGTCTTTGGAAGGAAAATAACCCTTCCTTTGGCAGTCTCTTAGTTGGTATTAAGATGGTAATAGCTGTCCTTTAGAGAAAAAGAGAAGTTAGTTCGGTTGGGCTGCAGCTGCTGTTGCTGCTGCTGTTAAAGTCTGATCCCATTTTCTAGAAGACAAAACATGACAAACATACACAAAAGGGGAAAGAACAGCAAAGATAGAAAATGCAGCTGTCACTGGTTTTAACTTGTAACCTTGCTGCTGCAAAACTGAGCCACAGTACACAGTCTTATCACCACTCTGAGACCTGGCAAAATTGTACCATGATATTGCATATAGCTGTCTCTTTCTGGTCACAGGCTTACAACAGTGTTACAAAACATGCAGTGTTGGCCAGCTTAGCCATATTCTTATTAGACAGAAGGAAAAAGGAAAGGGTTTGGAAAGAGAAGAAATAAGGTGGGAGATTGAAAAAAATGCACAAGAGAGAGGAAGGGGACATGACAAAGTCTCACATCCCATGTAGTGTCTGGGATATAGCTGGAGCCAGTGAAGATGGAGATGTCATCTGGGCCACTTCTTTGGTCCGGTCAGGACATGTCTTGGGATCAGGATGACAAAAGCCCAATGATGTTACAATGGATCTCTTGGTTCCAGGATATGGTGAGGATGGCAACCAGGATGGTGAAGCTTGCTCCTTACCCTTTGTTTCAGTCTTCAGATGTCCATCTTTCACTTCCTCTTTACCAGTTTTCCTCTCAAAGTCTCTTTATATGTACCCACAGTGCATTGCTCACACTGTCGATGATAGTGCCCCAACTGTGGACACGCTCTGCTGACAGAGGGAGCAAGTGTGAACATGCAATACCTATTTTTATTATAGCGCTTTTTGAGTGTCAACATAACTTTTGTCGACAAGACTCTGTAGTGTAGACAAGACCTGAAAGACTCCAGAAGACAGTGATGAGCCTTTTAACTAGTATATCATTAGCATTTGGTCTATCAAATGTAACTTATGTTGAAAATGTTCTTGTTTGTAATCAATGGAACACCACCATAAATATTGTGCTCTCTCTAAATTCATTTGGACAATGTTATTAATAATCAAATGGATTAAATAATAAGAGAATGCATTAAAACAGATTGCTATTTTCCTGGAAATATTACTGAAAAACACAATAGAACTCATAGGGAGCCTGTTTTTAACATTTGGGATTATTTATTTTAACAAAAAACGTTTTGAGTCTTGGCAGAAATTTTTAGCTTTAAAAATAACTCCCTTTCTTTAAAGCGGAAAACAGCTGTTCTCCAGACCATTTCCAGTGTAAAACTACAAAACACTGTATTTCTAAACTGTGGGTATGTGATGAGGACCCGGACTGTGCTGATGGATCAGATGAAGCAAACTGTGGTGAGTCTGACAACAGTCACACAAAGGAGTGCAGGCAGAAACTTTTTGTTTAAAAGTAGTGACATTGCTTTATTAAAATCTTATATTTCTAACACCAGTATCTTTATAACTTTCTTGCTCAAGAAGACTTTTCCCATTTTTTAAAATTTATTTTTATTTTCTTACCATAAATTGTAACGGGAAAGTTGCAATGATATTAAATATGTCCTGTGTCATTATTTCAAAGTAATCATCTGATAGAATAGCTTTATTTTACCTGTCTTGAAGCATCTGCTTTATGGACAGCAGTTATGAAACAAATGACTCACCTGAAACATTAGTGGCTTCTTTTTTAATTCTTATCGCAGAATTACCCAGTGCCTATTAATTTCTTCTACATATTTTTTGCCTATTGTATTCAACTAAATGCTGGTAAATAAAAAAAAACTAATAACTGCTATAAACATCTGAGTAGTTTAACTAGGTTACATTGTGTAAAATAAACAGATTTTTGTATCGGCTATCACAGGAGAACTGAAGGAACATTCCAGTCTAAGACAGGCCTCACAAAGACTTAGCGGAGTATACATCAAGTGTTAAGCAACCTGAAAGCAGAATTTTGTAGTGATTTTTATGAATCCAATAGTAAATAGAAAAAAAGCTTATTTATTTTCTTTGGGAATACTTCTTTGTTGTTGTTTCTTGCTCCCCTTTGCACAAAAAGTAAAATCTTTAGCATTTTTTGCTACATTTTTGCTATTTGTACCTGAAAGGTGACTTGAAAGACATTTTAACTGCAAAGGCCCAAGTTCATGTTTTTCCAGTAATAGTTGAAAATATGTTTAAAAATAGTAAAATAGTATAGGGTCCTAGAGTCACTACCTACTTTCCATACTAGCAATGTCATCATACACTGCAGGACAAACAGCAAACTTGGATTTTGATAAGTAAGTGCAAGAGGAATTCTCATTTTTGGTAAGTGAAAGAGGAAAGGATTTTTTTCATGTATTTTATTTTGAATGCATTTATTTGTAAGCTTGAAATCTGTCATAAAATTTAATTATTTGGATTTCAAATCTCTTTATTTATAAAGGTTTTAAATTCACCTGCAATAATAGTAACATTTTATGACTTCATTAACTAACTAATACTCCCAGGTCACTTATAAAGAAAGTAGATATAGTGTACTGTAGTGTACCAATTTTACAGATGAAGAAATCGAGAGAAACAGAAGCTAAGTAATTTAAACAAAGCTGGACGGCTAATTCTCATGGCTGCAAGTAGAATTCTGATATTCCTGGTTTCCAATCCTCACTCAGTTCATGAGATTATGGGCCCTCAACCTGAAGATCATGAACAGCTTTCAGGGGTTGTAACTGCCTTCTCTTTCCTTATGGATAGTTATGGGGTGTATAGCTCGAAACCCATTTCTATTCCAACATGAGATCACAGGATGCAAAATGTTAAGGGTTCACTGCACTGGACCCATATCGTCTCTTTAAGACATGTGTCTTTGCAAAATGACATAAAATACTTCGTTCTTCTTTGAGTGACCTACACATATTCAAACTCAGGGGATGCTCCAACTGGGCATAGTTTAGATGGAAGAACTTGAACTAGCTATGGGAGGGGCCCCATGAGCACTTCAGCAGGCACTGCTAGTTAAAGTTCCACCATTCATAGGATTCCGTTCTTAGGAGCCATAATAGAATCAACACTGGGCAAAGCAATCTATGACTGATTCTTAAAGATAAGATCACCTATAAATCTAACCAAACTGTTCTTTTCAATCTATGGTTATTGGGGCTTATGGCCTAAACAAGTATGACTTCCTTGGATCTTTTATGAATAAGGCTTTTGCAACATTAAGTACTGGAAAATTTCAGGTCCAGCATAGACAATATGGCAGGACTCTGGGCATTCAAAAAAGGGAATTCCTATCTGTAATTTGGTGATCCCACAGGAACAGCCATACTGGGTCAGACCAAAGGTCCCTCTAGCTCAGTATCCTGTCTTCTGACAGTGGCCAATGCCAGGTGCCCCAGAGGGAATGAACAGAACAGGTAATCATCAAGTGATCCCTCCCCTGTCGCCCATTCCCAGCTTTCCATTCCAACAGTGTAAAGAAAGGAGTTTTTCAATCCTCCCATGCCCTCACTGATAACTACAAGAAATCTCCAATTTCAGGTGTGTTTGTGGGGGGGGCGGGGGCATCTAAACAACAGCAGAAATAAGAGTTACACCTCAGCGTTCTCAAGTTAAGAGCATTCAGTGGGCTCTCTGGTTCTTTCTACCATAAGTCTGCCACAGAGTGATATAAGTAGCTACAGACAATACAACCTCCATGTATTATCCTAACAAATGTAGTGGAGGGTGTGAACTCTGAAGTAATATATTAATCCTTTATTTTTTAATTTATCTCCATATAATCCTCATGTATTCAGAATGGAAAATAGTATAAATAAGTGACTTGCTGCAAAAATAGCACATTACTACTAATCAAAGATACTGAAGCTAGGTAGTTTGTTGATTGTGATTTTGTATATATGGTTCTGTATGAATGTGTTAAATAAAAGAAATTTGCAGTGTTGTTGTAGCCGTGTTGGTCCCAGGATATCAGAGAGACAAGCTGCGTGAGGTAATATTTTTTATTGGACCTACCTCTGTTGGTGAGAGAGACAAACTTTCAGGCTTACTCAGAGCTCTTCTTCAGGTCTGGGAAAGGAAGAAGAAAAGATCAGCATAAGCTGAAAAGCTTGCCTCTCTCAAAAAAAGATGCTGGTCCAATAAAAGATATTACCTTACCCACCTTGTCTCTCAAATAATAGAAGTAACATACCGAACTGTATATAAACCTAAACATTCTCTTATCATCTGAATTAGTTTATTTGCAATAGTACAAAGCATACCGATACTATAAGTAGCTTATGAAAATTGCTAAAATAATTTTGAATCAACTATTTTATTATGAAAGTGCAATATAATAATTAACAGTAGTGGCATGGAAAATGAGATTTCACTAAAGCAATAAAAATCTGGTGGCTTTAATGATTTTGAACCATATGGCATCCTCTCAGAAAAGGAGTCAGAAGAATTTGTTATGTTTGTTAATTAGCAAAATTTCCTTGTTTTTTCCCATGTGGAGAGAGAGATTTTGGAGGGCTGTGAAGGGAAAATCCATAGGAAGGGGATCCCACAGTCCTGTTCTGCATTATGCTTTTCCCATCCGAAGGACCTATACTGTCTCTAAAGATACTATCCACTGGGTCTCAACCCCCTAGTGTGAGACAGATCAAACTCCCTGGTTCTTGACTGTGGAGTGAGGAAGACTATTCAGCATCTTCAAACCATGTCTTTGAGGCAGAACAATAACTGTAATACATGAACTTGCACTACCTTGGATTCAGTTACTAGTTGCAAGGATATCAGATTTTCTTGCAGATGTCATCCCAAGAATTGAGGCACCTCAGGGAGACTCCTTTAAATCCAATATGAGGTTGTCCTGGAGTTCCTCAACTGGTAAATCCTCAGAACAACAGTCTGTGTCAGCCAAGATGGCTGAGCAGTCAGGCTCAGCGTAGATGCTAGATACACTGGCAGAAATCTAGCTTCCCCCTGGCAAGTTCAGTTAGGTAGCTTCACCACCAAAGTTATCTATGTCATAACTACAAAACCTCACCACTAGAGGACTTCTCTAAGTGATAGGTCTCCAAAGCACTTCAACACTCAGTGTTTGAAGTTGGTAATTCTGAGTTCCAACTTGTTGGATGAGGTGGAGCATCCATAGAAAATATCAAGGCACACAGCACAGGGAGAAAACAGCAGCAATACTACACACTGGTTTTGAAGCTCCCAAGCTCATCAGACTTTGAAATGAAGCCTCTAGAATCTCTACCTCTTATTTGCCAATAAATGTTCATAGTACAAGAATAGAGTATCAATTTTCATATTATGTGGTCATAATTAGATTTACATAAAATATTAGCCATCGGAACAGAGATAATCACTTTGCATCATTCTTATTTGTGACCATACGGGCATTTCAAGATTTTTTAAAATGTGATTCTTGACCATGGGAGGAAAGCTGATCTGAACAGATATTTTCTAAAGAGCCAGTTAACTTCTTGGCACTAGCATCAAGAGCTCTCCCAGCAGTGGATGTGCGGGAAACCACTGGCTTGAAAAGATTAGACAAGAATGATGATCTAGTATGGTGGTAGACAAGTTTATGATCCTTGTGATAATATGAAGAGTAGCAATGTTTATATTGAAAGCAAATACTAGCCTGGAATCGCAGAGATTCTTTCATTCCTTTTTGACATCAGAGCTGGAATTTACTGCTTGTTGACAATGCAAAATTGTTCATCTACTCAATTTCATTCTTTGGATCATTGCTGCAACTGTGTAGTTTTTAGTATCTACTCAGTGATGGAAAAGTTTACTGATTGTTTCTGCAGTAGCTATGAAAATATTTTCGGGAATGCAATGGACATTCAGAGTTGAAAACATCAAGGCAATTTTTTTTTTTAGGTTGGGAATATATGTGATACTTAGTTGCGTATTTCTGGTGAAACGTGATGAAGTTGTCCAAAATAAGGTGTTTTTTAAAGAAGTCCACTGATTGTCTGATATAATTTTTGTTGCCATTAATGAAATAAACAAATAAATACAAATTATCTTTTTGCAAATTGACATCATCCTTATTTCTTCAGATAAATCAAATAATACATAATCAAATGTAGAACGACTCTGGAATTACTGCCAAAGGACTGGCTTCTGAGATTGATACAAAATCATCATTTCTCCCTGAATATGTCAGGTTTCATAAACATGAGAAGTCTCTTTACAATAAGAAAGAAAGAAAAAAAGAAAGAAAGAAAAGGTTACTGATCCTGAAAGTTCGTTCAGAGTACAATTTATTAATATTCTTACAGACAAAATATTAATTTTTAGAAGAAAAATATTTTCAGTAGGATCTACTTAAAGTAAAAGTATTTCCAATAATAATGAGTTAATGCAGT